GGGCTCTTGTTAAACCCAAATCAGAATTGACACCCGAGGAATTGGCACGCCAGGAAGAGGAAGAATTCAATACCGGACCATTGTCGGTGCTGACCCAATCGGTTAAGAACAACACTCAAGTGTTGATTAATTGCCGTAACAACAAAAAGCTATTGGGTCGTGTTAAGGCCTTTGATCGTCACTGCAACATGGTATTGGAGAATGTCAAAGAAATGTGGACAGAAATACCACGTACTGGCAAGGGCAAAAAGAAGGTGAAACCCGTCAACAAGGATCGTTTCATATCGAAAATGTTCTTGAGAGGAGATTCCGTAATTTTAGTACTAAGAAATCCATTGGCAACGGCTGGTGGCAAGTGAGAAGTGTGGAGGACGAGAGTTTATCTATTTTAAGTAACATCATCTATATGAAATAAGTAACAAAACTCAAGGAAAACAACTACATTTTCTATGTAATGCAAAAAATTTAAATAATTTTATAATAAAATTCTTTTCTTATTTAAATATAGTACATAATTCGTGATATTTTTAAAAACGTATATGAATAAGAAGAAGAGGACCGTTACTGGCCAGACAATTGCTTGTGTAATATGGGCACATATTCATCCCATTGGGCCTGATAGAAATTACCAGCAATTGGTGCACCTAAATTGTATTTCTCAGCAAATTTGGCTGCCTTGAATTTGGGACGATCTTGGCGAGAATTATTACCCACACGAGCTTCATCAAATTCCAATTTTCCCGATTGTTTATACAAAAGAAATACATAACGATGTAAACCGGTACCCTTTGGTGGTCCCGAACCAATGTAGGCAGCCAACACCTCTCCTTGATCAATGTGATTACCGGGTATATTAACAACCAACCAATGACGGAATTCTCGGAATTTTGGATCAGTGCGACTGGGTGCATCTGGATCGGTCATGATAAGGGTATAGTATACATCATCTTCGGCATCCCATTCCACTGTGGGTTGATTCTTCACTTGTGTTGGTGTCAATTCGTTGCCTTTGTCTGCCTTCAAACCATTGTCATAGGATACCTATTATATAAAAGTTTAAATAATGAATTCAATTTCGTGTCTCTAGCTCAAATGCAATTAAAACAATTACCTTTAGAAAATGATGTGGAGCCTCATCGATAACATCGGGAATTATTTCATTATCTTTAAACACGGTCTCAACTTCATGATTTGCTGCAACCAAATTATTAATGGCAACAAACATCACTAGCCCACAGAACAGAACAACCTTCTCGAATGCCATTTGTAGTGTTAATGATTTGTCTGGTGAATACAAAATTTTGTTTTATGGTTGTAGTTTCTCCAATTGGAAATGCTTCACCTAATCAAAACAATTAAAAACCGGTTTCCATAAACTTGTGATTGAAGAGAGAGCTTTTTTCTTGTGTTATCAAAAGGCAGGTTCAAAAATCATATTTACACTGTTTCCATGCAACAAAGGAAAAGTAAAGAGTGGTTTTTGTTGTGACTAAGAATAGATAGCTAATTACTTAAACGTCAGTGAACAAAGAAAGGTAAATTTCCTAGAATATAACATTTACTTAGCATTGGGAAATGTATGAGTTTTTGCAAATCAAGTATTTCGTAGGTGTGATATATATTATATTATCACAATGTCCTATACCATTGTAGATGGTTTTTTATGTGATTGTGTGTTTGGTTAAATTTTTCGTATCGGAAATAAAAACTTTAAACCTGAAGTATTTATTTGTAGAAGAACAATCACCCTTATGACGGTAGGGGTAGACGTGTTGAAAATTTGGCATTGTATTTATACGACAAATCGGTATTATGAAAATCGTTACAATACGACAAATTTGTCGTGAAGGATTTTGGTCCTTCTTTAGGAAAATTATAATCAAAATTTAGGGAAAGCATTTGCATTATCTTTATGGAAAGTTTATACATAAGAGTTTTCGTTCATGGCATTGGAGATGTATAGTACAGTACCTTTGGAGTGACATTCACAAGATGCTATAAAGTCATGCCACAAAATAATTAGGAGCAACCTGAATGTTTGGAAGAGCCGAGTCAAATAAGGATTTTATTCTGTATTTTATATAACAATCCGACCTTGATATATCCTTGAGCATTTATAAAATAAAGGCCCTAAATTATAACATAGATGATACGATATCGTATATTTGGGAGGACAATATTTAATTTATTCGTGATGCGTGTTCTGAAAATCTGATGAATAATAAATCAGTAATGTATGTAGAAACTAAAGTATGTGAAATATTTTGTTATTAATAAAAATAAGAATATGGAGAATAGTATATAAATTTACGTTTAAATTGCAACACTTATAGCATTCTTCTAAACTTTTCAATTTTCAGAGTCCTTTGTATGGTAAGCGTTCTGATTTTATAGGCCAAAAAGGGTAAAGTTTTCAAGACTCACTATATGGGAGGCATACGAAATCTTGCTCCGATCTATCCAGTTTTTTGTCAGTTGGTTTACAGACTTAAGTAGATACAAATTGCCAATTTTCATTGAATTTGAAATTCTCAAGACTCACAATATGGGAGGTATACCAAATCTTAGTCCGATCTATCCAATTTTTTGTTACTTGCTCCTTAGGCCAATAATAAGCACTTGTACCAAATTTCATCCACCTATGATAACTCCTTCTATTTTTGGCCGCTGTTAATATGAACTCGTGACATAGTACGACGTTAAATTAACTTTATACGCCTTAAGAGCCAGTCTAAGCATAATTCCAAGAACGACGTGGAATGAATAAACCTGAATTTTCTCAAAACTTTGGGGTATATCAGCAATGTTATATTCAGCAAAGATTTATGCATGTCCGTCTGTCCATAATTTTTAGTACATAATTGCAATGTTGGACCACTATTAAAAAATGTGACCTTTTCATCGGCCGAAAGTATTGGACCACTATTATCCTTTTCTGAAAACTCTATACGCGAAATTACATCTGCTTCGGTTGGATAATGGAGCTGAGACCTTCAAAATACCGCAAATGGGGCGGTACCATTAAATGGGGGCTATTCTAAAACATGAACCCATATATTTTTGCATTCATTGCTACACAAGATTGAAATAAATTAAAATTTGTCACAACCTGATTTTTAAGCTACTGGTTCGAACACATTTCCATTTGGTCCACATTACCCGCTAAGTTATTTTTTCGCATTTTTTGAGTTTGCATGGTACAAAGCAATATACAGAAGAATTTCCATTGTATAGTTGAATAGTAGTAATTTAGTTTTAATTAAATTCAGATTCATATGTAATATAATATTTGTAATTAGAATTAATTAGTATTCCTATCTGATTTTCAAAACAAAACAATCCATTAGTTTTTCGTGTTTTTAATAATAAATTTGAATATTATTCACTTATCATAAGTTATAATGCATAACTGTTTAAAAATAAATTTTTCTTTGGGAAAACTCCCCCAACAACCTTTAAAGAAATTAAGGTATGTTAATGGAACATTTACGTGCGAATTGTGGTGTATGTTTTGATTTGCTTTGTCTTCTTTAAGGGTACCCTTTGTGATATAAAACTGACGTTTTCTCACAGTAGTATGTTAATAGGCTCTAAAAATGCTTAAATACGTGTGATCGTTCAATTTGTCAATAACAGAAGCCAACAGTGTAGAGTAACTAAATGTACCAATATACTAGTGATTCATTTCGTTATACGTAATACATTAGGTTGGGGAAAAAGAAATCTATTAGGCCGATCTTCGAAAATTTCGATAAAATCGGAGAAATGATCGAATTTAACCGGCATGTTAGCAGTCGTAGCATCGCCCAGGAGCTAAAAATCGACCATGAAACTCTTTTACACCATTTACACAAAGCTGGATTCATGATACAATAATAAGGTGATGTATCAAAACAAAAACATTTTTTTGTCTCGATTATCTGTCAAATTTTTCCTTATAATATTTGAAAAAGTTGGCAGCATTGCACATCGAATTCAAGTAAAATGACCACTTTGACAGTTAATCAAGACATCAACTGCTTTAAATGGACTACCTATTCATTGTACCATGGCTGGATTCAAAAAGAAGTTCGATGTGTGGGTGCACACCAATTAACAGAAGAAATTGATCGAATTTCCATTTGCGAAGCCTTGTCCCTATGGATTGAGATAGACCCATTTCTTAAACGGATTGTGACTGGAGATGTGAAATGGATCACATACGATAACCCGTGATCAAAGAGCGGTGAAGCACCTCAAACCACGACTAACGGCCAGGAAGGTTCTGCTATGCATTTGGTGGAACTGGAAGGGGATTATTTATTATGAGTTGCATCTATATGGGCAAACGCTAAATTCTGATCTCTACTGTCAACAACTGGACCGTTTGAAGACAGCAATTGACCAGAAACGGCCAGAATTAAACAACAGGAGAGGTGTCGTGTTCCATCAGAACAACGCTAGGCCATACACATCTACAGTGACTCGCCAGAAACTTCGGGAGCTTGGTTGGGAAGTTTTAATGCATGCAGCATAGAGTCCAGACTTGGCACCAAGCGATTTGCATCTTTTTCTTGGATTGCAAAATTTCTTCAATGATAAAAAATTGATATCTATGGAGGATCGCGAAAATCGACTACTAGAGTTTTTTTTTGCAAATAGAGAGCAGGACTTCTATGAGAGAGGCATTATGAAGTTACCTTTAAAATGACAACAAATCATACAACCATAGGGCATATTTGGCCCAAATCGGATATTCTGAAGCATCTTAAATAAAGTCCTATAGTTCATATAAAAACCAGTAAGGAAAGTAGTGAAGTCGGACGGGGCCGACTATATGATACCCTTCACCACTTTGGGTAAATTCAACAGACGTCGCATTTTTGAAGGACCATTAACATGAAATTAAACATGTCATTCTGCAACCTTTACTAAATTTTGGTCAGATATAGAGTTGCTTCTTACAATGGGACAAAATTAATTAAATAAATTTAAAGCTAAATATCGAAATCTAAACCGATTTTATCGAAACTTGTCACATGTTCGGCCACATTTTGAGTTCTTCATTTACTTATAAATCCAAATTTCGCGCAAATGGAAGGTTATATAGGGACTTTGGTGCAGCATTTACCAAAAATCGGACGAAAATATATATGGGAGCTATATCTAAATCTGAACCGATTTTCATGAAATTTAAAACACATCCTTCTAGACTTATTTCAGAACGCAATGTCAAATTTCGTGCAAATCAAAGGATATATCGGGACTTTGTGCACCATGTACATAAAATCGGACGAAAATATATATGGGAGCTATATCTAAATCTGAACCGATTTTCACGAAATTTAAAACACATCGTTCTAGACTTATTTTAGAACGCAATGTCAAATTTCGTGCAAATCGAAGGATATATAGGGACTTTGGTGCACCATGTACATAAAATCGGACGAAAATATATATGGGAGCTATATCTAAATCTCAACCGATTTTCAGGAAATTTAACACACATCATTCTAGGCTTAATTCAGAATGTTATGCCAAATTTCGTGGTCATTGAAGGATATATAGGGACTTTGTTGCACTATTTACCTAAAATCGGACGAAAATATATATGGGACCTATATCTAAATCTGAACCGATTTTTCCCAATTTCAATAGGGTTCGTCCTAGGGCCAAATTAGAGACCTATACCAATTTTCATCCAAATCGGATCACAAATTCGACCTGTACTGTGTTAACAAAAATACATGGACGGACGGACGGACGGACATGCATAAATCGACTTAAAAAGTGAATTTATGCATATTCTAAAAAGGAACCATGTGTCTATCTCGTTTTCTTTAGCCTGTTACAAACATATGCACAAAGACATAATACCCTGTACCACAGGGTGGTGAAGGGTATAACAATGGATGGACTTTTTCTCTAATTTATTACTTATGGAGAGAGTATGGTTTAGGGTATAGAAATGTTGGGAATAGATTGTGAAATGGTGAACATCTCTACATACTGCATTACCACCACGTTTAGTCAATTCCAAAACCATTTTCTATTAATTATCGACATTCTAATGTCTGACCACCACCACATTGCTGTAAATGTTTGTAATAGGATTATTTGTAAAGCATACTTTTAGGAGCGAAAAGCTGCAATAAGGCATTGCCAACTGAAAATTATGCGAACAAAAACCTATCAAAAAATTTCTCCAAAAGCTTTTTACATAGCCATTGAAAGTTATTTCAATTGAAAAATATATAAATACGAAAAACTTTTCATTTGAATAATGTCGGAAGCAACAGAATTGGAAACAATTTTCAAGAAAAATAAAATAATTCCCGATGTAGTGACAATTGGGCCAAAATCTCTGTTAAAGGTATAAACCAATAATAAAATCAAAAATCAATTGACCATAAAAGAAATGTTTTTCCAGGTTATTTATCAAGGGAATATTGAAGTAAATAAGGGAAATGAATTGACACCCACCCAAGTCAAAGAACAACCCACCGTAGAATGGCCGCACGAAGACGCCAGCTTTTATACACTTATAATGACCGATCCCGATGCTCCAAGTCGTAAGAATCCAACATTTCGTGAATATCAACATTGGTTGGTAGCTAACATACCAGGCTGTGCGGTGGAAAAAGGTGATATTTTAAAAGCTTATGTTGGCTCCGGACCACCAGAGGGTACTGGCCTACATCGTTATATATTTTTGCTTTATAAACAAATGAGAAAATTGAAATTCACTGAAGAGCATATAGCCAAGAACAAAGGTTCAAAACGGGGTAAATTTAATACAATGGCATTTGTCAAGAAATATAAATTGGAAGAACTGGTAGCGGGGAATTTCTATGTGGCCCAATGGGATGAATATGTTCCACAAGTACATAAACAATTGTCGGGAAAATAAATGAATGACTTACTGGCTATTGATTGTTCCTAATGAATATATGAATTAATATTCTAAATTGTGCAAATTTTAGCTTGGAAGCAAATTTATATGTTGGTAAGCATTTTATTACTAATGTTTGCTATTTTCTTATTGGTAAATTATTTTCTTGATATGTCTATGGATATGATAAGGAGTACATTATTATGTGTCACTTACCGAACAACGGACTAGTACGGCGTGTCTTTTAATTTTGCATCTTCTTAATAGATTTTATCTGCGATACGCACATACTAAATAACGAAATGTTATAAAATCACTTATTAAACACTATTAATATTGCTATATTTCAATATAATTTTTCACTATTATTTTGATAAAACAATGAAGCATTTAATATTCTGATGAAAATTGAGACATATTTTATAACGATATTTTTATTAACATATCTTATATTTATTTACACATGTGGGATACCTTGACAATTTTGCAGCTCCCATATCTGGAAAGAAAGAAAAAAATATATTAATTACTTTAGGTTATAATATATTTTATTCGTATTTAATTACTAGCTAAAACCGCTGTATCGGTCGAGGTTATGAGGTGAGGTGGAGTATACCTACAGTGTCGACAAAAATAATTAAAAACGTAAGATAATAGTTTGAACACATGTTTTGTCTTTATGGAAAGGCATATACCTAAAATAGGGGTGGGCCCATTATATAGGGCGATACCATGGTCATATTTTGACCCACATATTTTGTTGAGAGAGGAGTAGAGCAGAAATATATAATTATATTAGATTGAGGAAAAAGAAGGAAGGAAGGACGGATCGAATTTCCATCTGCGAAGCCTTGGCCAAACGGAATGAGATAGACCCATTCCATCGATAACGCTGTGCGCATAACGATCGTGGTCAAAGAGCTGTGAAGCCAAACCAGGACTAACGGCCAGGAAGGTTTTGCTATACATTTAGTGGGACTGGAAGGGAATTTTTTATTGTGTGTTGCTTTCATATGACCAAATGCTAAATTCTGCCAACAACTGGACCGTTTGAAGATAACAGGAGAGGTGTCGTGTTCAACGCTAGACCACACACATCTACAGTGACTCGCCAGAAACTTCGAGAGCTTGGTTGGGTAGTTTTAATGCATCCGCCATACAGTCCGGACTTGGCACCAAGCGATTATCATTTTTTTCTTGCAATGCAAAATTTCTTTAATGATAAAAAATTGGTATCTAGGGAGGATTGTGAAAATCGACTACTATGAAGTTACCTTTAAAGTGGCAACAAATCATACAACAAAACTATGCATATTTGGCCCAAATCGGACTTTCTGAAGCATTTTAAATAATGTCATATATTTTATATAAAAATAATTCAATTCATTTTAAATAGTTTCAATATTGGTACACTTTTTATTATTTTTATTATATTCAGTATTTTGAAGCATTTGGGTATGTTTTTGAACCTAATCAGCTGTTAATTGGGTTCTCACTGCGTAAACAATCTTTCTACTACCATCTGTAATGTTCGTCCACTATTTAGGGTAGCCTACCTAAAACGCTATATCCCATTATTCGGTATTTTGGACGGTATGTGCACATTTTGCAACCAAATTGGCTCGAATATGTTTTTTCATGTTCTCATATAACGATGCCGACCAATTTTCAGTATTTTGAAAGTTTATCCACATTACCCACAGATGTATCTGTAATTTAGTACAGAGATATGATTTACAATATTCCCTATACAAGGTTCATGCCTCATTTTATGTATTATCATGGTCCCAACCAAATTTTTTTCATAGAAACGTCTCGCCCCATTTTAGATGAACAATTTATTTTATATGTGGTTTACATTTATAAGTAAACCATATTTCATATAAAAGTGCCGCACCATTATAGGTATTTTAGTGATATGATACTTTTAAATATAATTAGAATCTAATGCACAAAATATACAATAGCGGTGATGACTAAACACGTATTCTCTTTTTTTTTCTCTTTTGGTCAGTCATTTTTGGTTATGGTTTCTCACCATAGTTGGGCAGACTTGCACACCAGCGTTGATGCGTTCTCTTAACATTTTTTTTATGTCAAAACAAAAATTAACCTTAATCAAAAATTGTTCGCAATTTTTTTAATGAAATATTTTTTTTGAACTTCCTGGGATGTTATTTATGTTTTAAAAATATTAAATTAAATAAATTCCGCAGAATTATTTTTATTTTCCCTTAAACATTTTTTAAGAGAAAATTTGCCCAGCATTGGAATTTCTCACTTACGCTCTTCCACACTTACTCTTAATTTAGTTCTGTTCAACACTGTTCTACTTTGTGTATTAGTGAATTAGAAGGAAACGGAAAGTCTACCGTGAGAGTGGTTTGGAGAAAAAGAGGAGTCAGTGCATTGCCTTGTGTATATAACTAAATAGGGGAAAGTTGATTGTGGTGTGATATAGCTTTTAATGTGTGTATATTGATAAACGTATATTTTAATTTACTAAGAAAACATCCTTATATTTTTTTCATATTGACATATCCGAAACTGAACATATACAACCGAACGCAACAAGAACTCGACACAAACTGACTTTGATATCCGATCATCTTTGCAAATGAAACAAAATCAAAGAGTATACAATATGAGAGGATGTTATTCGAATGAGAGGATGGAGCTCTGAGATAAAATTCCAAAAATTACAACAACAAGTTTATAAAGGAAGAAAATTCTTTTGTGTAGAATTATGCCTGTTAACGTTTTTTTTCCACAAAATAGTATATAATTGTTAGGAGTGAGTGACTTTCACACACAAATATAACAGTAACAAAGTTTTTGTCATAGCCATTCTGAGAAAATTGGATTGGATGAATTGAATTGGTAATTTTTGAAATTGCGTATCTTTTTTAAAATTAGTCACATCGAAATGAAATAAAAAACGTGGAGAAGCTTGAAGCTTTTAATATTTTGTTTGTTTATTAAATGTCGTTATAAAGATGTTTCATTTATATATATATATATATATCTAAATCTAAGCTGTACTAAATTTCGTATCATTCCGATAATAAATGAGACCGGTACTTTGTTTCTTTACATGGACATACGTACGGACATGCATATATCGACTTGGAAAATGATTCTATGTATATTTTCTAAAGGAACCATCGTTTCCATTTGGTCTATATCGTTTCAATTTGCCTGTTACAAAAATATGCACAAAGACTACTCTGTCTTCCCTTTACCACAGTTTGGTGAAGGATATAAAAATGGACACATGGATTTAAAAAGATATATAAAAATCGGTTTATTAGTGCACAAAATCCCTAAAATAATCGGGTACCGTTATAAATAAAATATAAGCCTACATTCATATTTGATGGTCCTATGTTGTCTAGGCTACAAAAATATACAGAGAGATTAGGGAACACCTAAATAAGATTTGAGTTCCTACATCAAGGTCAGAACCGCATAGACTAATTTAAAACAAAAAAACCGGATTATTGATCTTCGTATTTTTTGGTTATTGACCGTAGGGTTAAGGTGACATATACGCTATGGAATTGACATTTGAGATCGAATGGATTTAGTAGTCTTAACATGTTCTAAGGAAATATACGGGTATGTTCTGGCATTCACTTCAACGGCAGAAGTGTATCGAACACACGCCGAGGTGTTCTGTAACACACTTTACACCCATTTGAGGTGTATTCTTTACACTTACATTTCCATAGTGAGAGTCGGGTGTATTCCTGTTTTTTCATATAAAAGAAAATCTTTTTTGAAATAAAAAACACACATTATGATAGATTGATTTGTTATTATTGCGTATAATTTGTTTAAAATCACAAAATGAACATGAAACACCATTAACAACAAATTTTAAATAGATACTAAGGTTTGTCTTAAATTTTCTTCAATTGAATTTCTTGCTTGACACAAACAACTGATTTGAAGTAAGGCCGAAAAAGATAGGGTTACCAAATGTTCCCCTTAAATCAATCAAAATCAAGAAATTAATGTTATTACAGAGGTTTCATACATATATTTTATGTTGCGAATAAAAAAATATTAAAAAATAATAATAAAATTGTCGTTAGAATTAACGAAATTACTAAAAAATTACAGAAACAATGTTAAAAACGAATACAGTTTATATTGAATGGCAACACTATTTCTGCAAAGTACCATGTCGACGTTTATTTTTGTCGCAGTTCAAAATTTCAATTCACGTGAGAAGCAGAACAGGAGGTAGCTTCTGAGGTGAAGTGTATGTGTAAAGTGAAAAGAACACGCCGTGAGTTCCAGAACATACCCGATAATTTCAATTTCAATATGTTAGAGAAACTCTCACTCGTTCCCACGTTAATTGCAGTCAATGATGAGCTTCCTTGGATTTTAAAGTCTGCTCAATTCTCTTATGTTTTAAGCATAAAATGAATATTCTTAACATTTTTCTTTTTAGTAATGAGAGAACATCAACAAAAACAACTGACGTAAAGAGAAAGAAAAAGAATGCATGTTCAGCTATCGTACTATTTTGTGCATTTTGCAAACATAAGCAAAATATTAAAAACAATTAAAAACGTTGCTTTTTTAACTCTCTTAAATTAGTATATGCCCCCATTGATCTCAGTGAATACGTTGTTTTAAAATTCTCTTCAATTCGCTCTATTCTCTTCAAACGAGCTCATCAAATATGAGAGAGAGAGTAATATGAGAGGAGAGATTTTTGATTGCACCTTAATGAAATTTGCCTGATGCTGAAGTAGAAGGAAACGGAAAGTCTACATTGTCTATTTTGTAGACTAAACAATATAGGAAATGAGAGTGGCGTGGAGAATTAAAAGCTTTTTTAAACGGAGACTCTGCATTTCCATTCGTAATTAACAAGATAGGGGAAATTGCATTTGTGGTAAATATGTATTATTAAAATACCCGTTTGAAATGAAAATATGTACACCAAATGCTTCTTTTTAAGGAATACTATGAACGCAGCTTACCAACTTAATTGTTTTTTT